AAAACAAAGATGGGAATGAATAGAGAAGTCGTCGTAGGAGTAGCAATAATACTCCCTTCAAACTTATGATGATCCAATTAGAACATTGTATTTAGTATTGGAAGCTGGAGCAGTGTAGCTAGGGAAGATAGCTTGTACAATGTGAAAGAGTGGCATAATTCTTTTAATAGCATTGCTTTCAGTAGGCTTTGCAGCAGGCTGTTGATCTGAAAACTGGCTTGTCTTACTTTAACAGTGTGCATGGGACCTGGTCTTGTCCTAGAGCAGGCAGTGCTCAGGTGAATCTGTGGTATTTCTGGTTGACAGGTGTAGTGGTGTTGAACATTTTATTTTGGAAGTTATCGGGCACCTCCCTGACATGGAGATGGTGATCAATGTACGAGATTATCCTCAGGTTCCTAAGTGGATGGAGCCTGCTATTCCAGTCTTCTCCTTTAGTAAGGTAAGTACAGGAAGGGCCATATGAGGGGACGCTGGGTGGTCCTCTAGACTATGACCAGGAGATGATTGTCCTGTGACAGAGTCTCATGGGTAATGGTGAGGATGAGGCCTGAGATCCATCCAGGAATGGGTCTTTGTTCCTGTTAGTTTCACAGTAGTTGAGCAGTAAGACCGAGGAGATGGGGTTGAGGACCTGTAAGTAATGAGAGGTTGCTTAAGTCTTGATAGGGCTAGGGATGGATGGTTGGGAATGAGAGAGGCCTGAGGAACCTATAGGACATTGGAGATGGGGTTCAGTGATCCTTGGGAGAGAGTGACCCAAGAAAGCATATGGGCACGGAATTAGGAACATCTTCAAAAATATTTGTTGAGCTCCTACAAAATATACTTCAGACACAGTATTGAGTATCATCTGCCGTATCTGTCACTGTATCCCAGGGACCCAGCATGGCTAACAGTGAAACTGAAGGTGTTAGATAACTCTACACAGTTTGTGCCCAAGCAGCTCATTGAGAGGATAAGACTGGGATATCTGAGAGGAGTTTGTGAGGGGGTGATCTTCGGGTCTAGTTATGGAGGGATAGGAGTACTAGGACACACCTGTGGTCTTGGAGAACTCAGGACAATTACTATCTTGCCAGTGCTCAGGTTCTTGAAAACTGTGTTTAGCAGGGGTGATCCTTGGTTCCTTAGAGACTGAGTATGAACATATTCGGGGATGGGGGTCGGGGAGGCTAGAAGAGAATGGATGGAAGAGCCTCTGGGGGAGGAGTGGGTTTAGGAAAACCCTGCAGACTTCGAGAACAGGAACATCATCTCTGATTTGGTTTTTCTGAAGCATAGGGATCTTTTATCCCCACTTTCGCTTTATCACAGTTTACTTTCTCTCTAGACTTGTTTATTTCCTGTATTGCAAGTGGGCTGAGGCTACATTTGTGTTGCATTTTCCGTGGTTTAGCCTCATTTCTCAAAAGCGCTTGGTCCCATTGTTTGTCATGAAACCCTACCAGAAGAATAGATAACAGACTCCCATGTAAATCAGTAAGAACTTTGTTCATTATTTATCTATTATTTCTGTCGATAATTAAGTATGACCATCAGTATACTTCCTTTCATTTTTACTTCCCTCCTTTTTTTCTTTTTTTAACCAGTGACTCCTAATTTCCAAAAGAGATTTTAGTCTGTCAACTTTGTAGTAATTGTGCAGCTTCTATTGAGCAGCTGTTATTTCAGAGCTGCTTGATGAATCACATACAATTTTTTAAGAATTTGAGAGAAGGCAAATGGCACACTGCATGTGTAATTTCAGTGGAAGAAACAGTAGACTTAGAGGTTTATCAGTGGCCAGAGTTTTAACAGAAATAACCATAAAAAGGGAAAAATGGTTTCAAACTTTTTTCAAAAGATGTGAGATAACACCCCTTTCTGCCCATCTACACTTCTAACGCTGATCATTGAATAATTAAGAATTTATTGACCAACCATTGAGAGCTCAACAAGCCTATTACATAGATAGTATTATTGATATGATTACTTCTCCCATTATAAAGATAAGGAAACTGAGGCATGGAAAGATTAAGTAACTTGCCTAGAGCTGGAAAGAGATGGAGTCAGCATTCAAATTCAGATGATCTGTTGCAAGAGTCCACACCCTTAACCACTGCACTGTATTTCCTAATTCTTGCTCTCAAAAGACCCATCTAGGAAATAACCAAGAACTGATAAGACAGTATATACTCCAAGCATAATAACAGTTAAAAAATGAGAGAGTTATATGATTATTCAGAATTGGGTATGTTATTTCTTTATACTAAGAACCATAACAATGTATGTCCTCTAGAAAAACAGAACTTTGGGGAACTGGAAAAATTGACCTTTAATGTGATTTCAAATTCTATCATTAGTGAGCCCATGAATCTTAATCCATGGTCATTTTTGCCTTTTAATTTCTAGAGTCTAGACTTTGCAGATTAGGGAAGATATATTTTTGACAATGTGACAGTAGGGCCTTTGTCCAGATCCTGTGGCATGAATGCAGTTTGCTGCTTCTCCCTCTGTTCCGAAACTGATTTAGAATAACCTTTCTGTTTCTGTTGAAGACATCAGAGTACCATGATATTATGTATCCTGCTTGGACTTTTTGGGAAGGAGGACCTGCCGTTTGGCCAATTTATCCTACAGGTCTTGGACGGTGGGATCTCTTCAGAGAAGATCTGGTAAGGTAGGTTCTTTAGAGAGGTTTTTTTTTTTTTGTCCCTCTTTGTGGATCTTCTTGAAATAAACAGTAGAGTGTAAACAATTACTTTCTTTAAAATGACTAACTTTTAGGTTAAAAATAGAAGACCAAAACTGTGTATAGCACAAACAATTTTGTATGTGTATAAAAATATTTATATATCCATAGAAAAAGAGGAGAAGAACCTAGTTTAAAGTATCAGCAGTGCCTCTGTGGGAGAGATTGTAGGAGCCTTTTCTTCTTTAAATTTTTCTATACTTTTAAGATTCTTTGAATAGGAGTGAATTACTTTCATAATTAGAAAAAAATGATCATGTTATGGGAGAGGATAGAACATTACTTGGAGGAACAGATACATATTTCATAATTTAAAGCTAGGTCCTTTAGGTGGGAATGGGGTGGGCATAAATGTTCCATATGTATCTCAAGGACAAGCTTACACTACATCCTCTCTGATACATGACTGAGACATGCCTTGGCTTGTTGGCTCTTGCCATCATTTTAGAATTTAGATTGTCTGGGTCTTTCAAGCTATAGGTATTTCTTACCTAGCTACATTTTACATTAATGATTCAAACAACATTGGCACTTAATTAGCAAACTTGTAGAAACACAGTCTATATAGTCTTCCCTCAGATGTAAGGGAAGCAATAATTTAATTCAACTTTTTTTTCACAATTATCTATCACCTGTACTAAGTGTGGTTGGAGATTCAAAGGGGATAAAGCAAATGTCCCTTCTCTGGAGAAATATGTGGGGCCACAGTCCTTCGGGTTAAAAAATGAGTCATTACCTAGTAGGCATAATTTGAAAATTATTTTTTAAGATAACTTGGTCTCATACTTCATAGAACTCGAACTGGAAATTGTGCTTGTCCAATTCTTTTATTTCAGGGATGAGGGAATGAAGGCCCATGTGGGTTAAGTGACTTGATCAAGGCCAGGGGACAATCTAGGCCTGAATTTCAGGTTTCCGAGTGCATTATTCTTTCCATTTTGCCAGTTAACGTTGCCCATGTTCTCTGGACATTGAGGCCATCATATCTTATTTATCTTTTAATTTTGAACATAATTTTGAGAGAGGGAAAAATAAAAAGGTCTTTAACCTTTTTTCCTCCAAGTCGTTCTTGGTGTTTTCTAATCCTTTTCTTTTTTTCAGGTACTTGCAAGAACCCTTTTCACATTCTTTTTCCACCTGCTATACATCTACTTTCTTTGTAAAATCTTTAATAACAACTTTTTTTTCTGATTATAAAACCTATACATGCTCATAAAAAATTTAAATGTGTCTAACCTAGGCAATTTTTTTCCACACTTATCAGTGTGTCTTAGAAATCTTTCCATGTCAGTATTTATGAAACTGCCTCATTATTTTTAACAGTTGCATGGTATTCTACTGTGTGGATGATAATTTACTTCATTATGTCTTCCGATAGACATTTGGACTGCATATGTAATACATACATAATTTGTTTTTTTCTGAACTATTTGAGAGCATGTTGCGTATTTTATGAGACTTTATCCCTTAATACTTTAATTATAGATTTCCTAAGAGCAAGGATGTTCTCTTTCATAACCACACTGCAATCACCCAATTCAGGACACAACACTTAATTGTATCAATAATGTCCTATATAGTACTTTACCCTCTAGTACAGGATACAGTCCAGAATCGTATATTGCATGTACTTGTGATGTCTCTTTCTCCTTTAATCTGGAAGAGCTCTTCGGCCTGTCTCCCTCTTTCTTAATCTTGACATTTACTTTTTTATAGAACGTTCTTCAGTTTGGTTTTGTCTATTTCCGTGTGATCAGATTCAGTGTATGCGTTACTGTTCTGAATACTATACGTAAAAAAGTGATTTTTCATCCATCTTTCCCTTATTAGTAATATTAATTTTGTTCACCCGGTCAAGGTGTTATCCGTTTCCTTCACTGTGCAGTTACTGTTTTTCCCCCTTGAAAACTAATAAGCAACTTATAGGGAGATAGAATATGCTTCTCCTTATGTTCTTCAGTTGAATTTATTAATGATTGTATAATTGCAATTTTATTTATAAGAGCCGTCCACTCAGAATCTCTAGCTATGTGATTTCATTTCTTACCTTGAAACTTAAGTAATAATCTGCATTGATATCGGCCTGCCATTTTTCTATTTTGGGAGTTTGTCTCCATTGATTATTTTTCACTCTGTAGAAGAATTCATTGTCCCTGTAGATTTAAAGTCCCTGTCAAGGGTCAGGGGAGAGATTTATCAAAGAAGGCTGCTGTAACACCAGGCTGTGGTGGGCACTGTTAGAGCTTATCTGGAGAAAAAGTCCTAACGTAGGCCTTTTGAGGGGTGGGTAGGTGAGGAGCAAGAATGAGGGAGAAAGAAAACAGAAATGATACATGGTTCAAGTCTGTGTATATTAAACACAGCTTTCCCAGAGACCAAGGATATTTATACTAAATATATGAGTATAAATTGATACTTTTTTTTGGTTGGGTAGTTTGGCAATATATATCAAAATTTAAAGTCAGTATATTCTTTGACCCAACCATTTCACTTCTAGAATTTGTCCTGAGACAAGTTAGCAAAGAGGTGTATACAAGGATATTCACTCAGTGTTGTTTTGTAAAGCAGAAAGTTGGAAACTCCCTAAAAGTGCATCCATAAGAAATGAATCATGACATAACTATCTAATAGAGTATTGTGCATGAATGGAAAATAAAAGTAGTATAAGGTTTAAAAAACAGGGACTCTGAGTTCAAACCCTAGCTCTTAGCTGTCTAATTCTGGGCAAATTGCTTAACCTCTCAAGAACCTCAACTGTCAAGTAAGAATAATCACACCAACCTCATAAGGTTGTGAGAATGAGTTAATATATGTATAAAGCACTTAGAACAGTGCCTGGAACATAGTAAGTGCTCTATAGGTGTTGGCTGTTATTATCTATGATACATGTCCTTATAAGAATGTTACCTAACAGCAAGCATAGTATGATCTCTGTTATAGAGAAAAAAAGTTTCTCAATCTTGGTGCTGTTGACATTTTGGTACAGATTATTCTTTGTTGTAGGGGGCTGTCTTGTGCATTGTAGGATGTTTAATAACATCCCTTGGCCTTTACCCTCTAGTGGCCAGTAGCAGACCCCAAGGTGTGACAATCAAAAATGTCTATAGTCATGGCCAAATGTCCCTTGAGGGAGAGGGGCAAAATCACCTCCAGGTGAGAACCCTGATATGGAGAGATGATTGGAAGGAAATTTTACTGAAACATTAAATTTTTTAAGGTGGATATCTGTGAGTAGGGAGATTAGATGATAATTTCTCCACTTTTATGTTTTTCCATTAGAATTTTATATAAAATATAAAACCTATCATTTTTCTACTGGGGGAAAAACCCATAAAACAAAAACACCATTTTCTAGTGTTTATATTTTGGTGGGAGGGAATACAGGGCAGAGCAAGAAAGAGCGCTGGCCTTGGACTAAAGAATCAGGTAAAGATGATCCAGCAAGAAAGGGCTAGAAGATAAACCAGGAAATGTGGAGCAGTGTTCTTAGCTGAGAGAAATGAGTAATGTGATACCCTATGTATCTGAAAAGTATATCTACGTAAAATGTTTATATCCTAAGTCCCTTATTATAGTAATAGAGACCACCGATCCCTTGTTAACTCCAATTCAGTCCTCCCCCTCCTTTTTCACAGGAAGATGCTACACAAACTTCTGTGCAAGGTTTGTGTGGAAGAAGTTAGGAATGATATATCTGTAAGCTGGTAGTTTCAGCAAGGAAAGCTGGTTGTAGAAATGTGTTCGAAGACCTGAGTTTCAGGGATTTTGTCTTTGCGGAGCACTTAGTACAGTTTTGAGAATACCAGGGAGCCTTGCAAAATCAGACTAAATCTGTTGATACCTCCTACATATCTAAAACATGAAGCCAGGGAGTGATCTGTTTTCTTGTCCTTAATTCAATTTCTAATATTTTCTGTTGTTCTCTTTTCATATGAATTTCATCAATAGCGTTCTACATACAGTAGAGAAGAAATCCTTGTTGAACCTAACTAAACAGCCCTAAATATGTCATTTAGTGTTTGGGAATTTTTCTTTCAATGTTGTTAACTTATTAATGGAGCAGAAGATTTGTAGATATTACTGGCTAGCATCTCCAGAGGAATGAAGTAATAACAAAAGGGAACATATCCTTTAGGGCTTTTTTTTTTTTTTGAATAGCCGGGCTCAGACTTATTTAAAAATGTAAAGCTCTGAACTAATCCTCATAAATTATTTAAAAATATCCTTATCTAGTTAAGAAAAAAAGATAGAAACTAACCAAAATCTATTTTTAGGTCAGCAGCACAGTGGCCATGGAAAAAGAAAAATTCCACTGCGTATTTCCGAGGATCAAGGTGATTATATTTTTTGACATTTTACAAAGATATTCTTTCAATTAATGTGTAAAATATAAGTAGCTTTGAGGATGTAACAAACTCTAGATCAAAAAGGAAGCTAAGATAACTAAGAAAAAAAAGTAGAATCACAGAATTTTATACTAGAGAAGAGCTCAGTTTGCCTAAATCATTCTTTCTCAAACTGCAATTCAAAGATGTAAAATTTATCCAGTGATTCAACAGATACTAACAGAGGGCCATGAGTATGATGGGCACTGAGTATATAACATTGAAGAGATGAACTGTCCTCTTGCCTGAGAGAGTACAGTTTCCTGAGAGTGCCTTATGACCTTGTCCAGTCACTCTGCTAGTTAAGAGCAGGAACCATAAACAGATCTCCTGATGCCTTTTCCATCTGACCATGTGGCTGCCAAAATAGTGGTAGAGACCACAGATTGAGACTCGTGAAAATGGAGAGGGAAGAAAGAGAGGAAGAGAGAAGGGAAAAGGTTGGAGAGGACCCCTTTCCATGTTATTCAGCTCCATATCCCTAATGCCAAGGACAGTATTTGCCACATCGGTACACAGTGACAATGTGTTGAACAGATAAATACAAAAGAGACTGAAGAGAAAAGGTTTTGTAGTTTTCTCAGTGAGTCCTTGTCAGAGATCCCACCTTGTATTTACTTGGGCTTCAGAATTCAGACAGGCCGAATAGCCACTGCGTACTGTTACTTATCAACTTCTCTGATGCTCAGATCTTGAGATCACAGATGCTTAACTTAGAATACATGTGTGAACTTCAAGAGTTTAGGACTTCCTTGAAATTATAGGAGGATATGTGCATTTTTCTAGAGAGGAGTTCCACAGTTCTTATCAGATTCTCAGGGGGTCCCTCGACCCTGCAGATGTCAAGACCGTCTGCTACTTGGACCATAGCTAAGACCTTTTCTCAATATAGTTGTCAGGGTATTAAGCCTTTTAGTTTTCTTTTTTAATTTAAATATTATACTGGACTTTATAGAACATACACGACAAAGGTCATGTAGCTGTTTCAGTGACTGGTGATTACCTAGTCACATAGCTATGATTATCGAGGCTACATGAACCCTCCTTAAAGGGAAATCATTCCCTGGGATGTGGCTCTAGTGACCAGAACAACATAATCTTAAAAAATAGATACAAGCCAAGGAGGGCCAAATACTCCCCATCCCTGAATGGTAAAGTGAGGACAGCCTGGGACTACCTAGATGCTGCAGTATCTAGTATTTCACCCTCCCCACCGCCCGCCCCGCCAACTATTAAAGTAACCAATGAGTTTTCCATCCGTGCATACCAGCATTGCGTTGGGTCCAATTAATGCTTAGCTTCCAAAGAACGAGAAGTGTTACTGTGTAGGACACTTAGTTTTTTATGTCATGTGTTTCTTTTATAGGACAAGTCCAGAACGAGATCCTCTCATTCTCCTATCTCGGAAAAATCCAAAACTTATTGATGCAGAGTACACCAAAAACCAGGCCTGGAAATCTATGAAAGTAATCACTAATCATCTGAATAGAAACTACAGCAGTGAACATTCTCACTCGAAGAACATTGCCACCTGAGTAGAATTTCAGATTAGGTTTCCTGTCATTGGTGTGATGAACGTAGAGAAAGTTCCATGAACTAGTTTTGGCATACATGTAAATTATTCTTTTTCAAACTCACATTGCTTTTCTGGCCCATATTCTCAGTAGTGTTTTATACTACTTTGAAGGTTTAAACCATAGGTCACAAACTTTTTATGTAAAGGGCAAGATGGTACATATTTTAGACTTTGTGGATTGTGAGGTGTCTGTTATAGTTACTCAACTCTGCTGTCATAGTGTGAAACCAGCCATAGACAATAGATAAATATATGAGCATGGCTGTGTTCTAATAAAACTATTTATGGCACTGAAATTTGAATTTCATGTAGTTTTCATGTGTCATAAAATATTCTTCGTTGGATTTTTGCAATCATTTGAAAGGTAAAAATATTCTTAGTTTATGGGTTGTATACAGAAATGAGCGGTGGGCCAAATTTGGCCTATGGGCTATAGTTTGCTAACCTCTGGTTTAAACTGGTAGTTCTCAACCCTGACTACACAATCCAACCTGAGAGCTTAAAAATGAATCAAATAAATCAGAATCTCTGGGCATAACGTCCAGGCATCTTAATTTGTTTAACTCCCAAAATGATCCCAAGGTGAAGCCAGCAATGACTGGCTTCTTCAGTCCATCCCTGTCCTCTTAACTCTGTGACTTCTTACCTTATTCAAAGAATTTTAAGCCCAAAATATACTCATCCGAATTTTCCATATACCATATGAGGATGATACAAGAAAAAAAATTTAAACTTCTTAGGGAGAAAACAAAGTGTTTCTTTGAGATGTGTGTATCTATTATTTGAAGTTTAAAATCCATGTTAAAAAAGTAAAATATGAAAAATTGTATGTATTCAGCAAGGCATCATCTACTGTGGGAGGGTGGGAAAGCAAACAAGCCTTGTTCCCCTCATCAAGGAGTTTACCATCTGCTAAGGTGGAAGGAATATATGTAGATCAAGGTCTAAACTCAAATGCCCCAAGGGGCCACGGAAGTGAGCAGAAAAGAGTGCTAAAGGTCCAGTTATGCCTGCCAAGTGGAATAGGAGTCCAGCTTACCAGATATTTCTCTGTCTTTTTACAAAAAAAGTTGGAAATCTGGATTTTTTTGTAAGAAATATGCTACCATCTGTAAAATGTTGGCAGTGATTTGAATATTTATTTCAAATATTTTGCATGCCAACAAGATTTGTGTGTGGGCTACACCTCTGAGCCCACCAGCTACCACTTTACAGAGTGAAATGTGCTGCAGGCCATGACCTCTGAGTTCATATGGCTCCAGGGGAATCTAAAATCTAAAATCAGATAGACCCGGGTTAAAATCCTAGCTCTACAACTTAGGGCTATGTGACCCTGAGCAAGTCCCCTAACTTCTTGAACCTTGGCTTCTTTATCTATAAAATGGGGTAATTATGGTTCCAGAGTATGTTTATCATGAGACTTACGAAGTCCTGTTGATGGAATGTTTACCAATGCTTGCTGCACAAAGGTCTTCAATAAATGCTATTACTACTAATATCAATAACTCCCTTTTCACTTAAAGGACACCTTGGGAAAGCCAGCCGCTAAGGATGTCCATCTTGTGGATCACTGCAAATACAAGTAAGACTACCCAGACTCCTGACTCTTGGTTTCCCTGTTGCTTTTGGAATAGCTTTACTTTGAGTGAGAACTTTAGTACCAGGGCCCGGCTATGGTTTATGAAAGTCACAATCATTCATTTACCTGTCGTTTACTAAGAGCTTGCTGTGCACAGGGTTCGGGCCTGAGTTCTGTGAGTGCAGAGACAATGAAATATGGTCCCTGCTTCCACAGAGCTTGTGTGCTAGTAATCAAAGTGATAAGATTTCCTCTGTCCACACCCTACCCAGCCAATAGCTGAAGTTAGATGAACTATTTATCAGGTTAATAGAACAGTTTAAGGTTCAACATGAATAAAGTATATATAACTAAAATTTTATATTTAAATGCTAGCACTAAGAATTAGATGAACAGGTAAAACCAGGTCAGGAGGGGAACAGTGGGGTGATGGAGAGAGATGAATACCAATTTCACTATACAGTAGAAACGACAGGGTAGAAGCAATTCTCGTTCAAGAGAGGGGTATGTGTAAGAAATGTTGAAAAGAAAATGTTCTTTCTAAGATAGCTTTTTTCCCAGGGATTTTCTTTGAACATTGATTAAGCATGCCTGGTTATCCTCTCCAGATTTCATAAGAGGGAACAGGGAATGCCTTTGATGCAGATGGGGTACTCTAGGGGAAAAACAAGGCTGGGGGGTGCGGGGGGAAACAATGAGTTCAAGACACAAGGCCTGGAATAGCTTTTAGGAAAGGGTGAGGTGTCATTTCCAGCTGAGCCCCATATCCTGTCTACCCAGCACCTAGCTCCTGGCTCTGTCTAGCTCTGTCTTGAAGAACGTATCCCCCTTTGCCTCTCATCCTGACATTCATGGGAATAACCTATAACCCCTGGAAAAGCAAGGAGTTTATGGAAACCCCACAGGGACATGCTGATGTGTCCTTAAAAAATGAACATAGAAGAGAGAGGAGTCATAAAAGGAGAGAAGGGGAGAAGGATTTAAGAAAAACAACAAAAAAGGTCATATTTATGGCAGCAGGCATATAGTATCAAGTATATTTTGCTCTTTCTTTCCCAGGTACCTATTTAATTTTCGAGGTGTAGCTGCAAGTTTCCGGTTCAAGCACCTTTTCCTGTGTGGTTCACTTGTTTTCCATGTTGGTGATGAGTGGCTGGAATTCTTCTATCCACAACTGAAGCCGTGGGTTCACTATATCCCAGTCAAAACAGATCTCTCCAATGTCCAGTAAGCCACTCTCTCCCAAGCAGAGTTCCCATAATCTGCCTCTAAGTCTCCAGCCATTTAAGGCATTTACTCTTGGTGATTTTTTCCATCGAAAGCTTTTTTTTTTTTTTCTTATTTGGTTCACATAGGTATTATCGCATTATTATCCAACTAGTCTATAAGTGAGATTTAATTTGAAACAGTGCTCTAGTGCTGTTTCAAAATGTAACATTCAGACAGTATGTGGTGTGAGAACTATCTAATCTCTCAAAGACTAAAGATAGGAATATTTAATTTTATTATATTGTCAGAGAGACTTTCAGATACATCATGAGAATTGACCCCAGTGAAGCTGAGGCAAATTTTCTCTCATGATGGGAGAGGTAGGGAGAGGGGCCAGAAACACAAGGGCGCCAGAGCAGGGGACAGGAGGGAAATTTTTTCTTCACTATTGATTTTTAATGTGTATCATTGGACATTTCTGTATCTTCTCAAATATGTCCCCAAACTACAATAGGTTGCCTTTTAGCCTGTGCGGGGACTTCTTGTTGTCATTGTTATTTTGTTCCTGTGAAGACCTGATATCTTTCCTGTAAAAAAAAAAAAAAATCAATAATCCACATACTGAGAGATTAACTGTGGATCTCGGTCATGGTCTTTCTGACTTAGTACTAGTGAGCTTGGTCTATATTTCAGAGTTTAATAATTCTTTCCATTTTAGGGAGCTGTTGCAGTTTGTAAAAGCAAATGACGACATAGCTCAAGAAATTGCTGAAAGGTAAGTTCTGTTCATTTTTCCTTTCCCACTTTATCATCCATCCCCATTTTTCCCTAAAGTTATATGAATATTGTTACCAGGTGATATCTGGATTTCATCCTTATTATACAGAGAAAATCAGAACTAAAGCTCTCCTGGGGGAAAACACACACATTCACACATGTCCTTAACTCATTCTTTATAGAAGTAGACTGAAATCTTTGAGGTAACTAAACAAGTACTTTTTCTGAGCCCTGTTTGCATGTTTGTTTTTAAGAAAAAAAATATTAAGTTCTATTGCTAAATGATGTGCGTGGATATGATGATTCTGAGGATCAAGAGTTAATTCATTTAAAGTACTCTGAACAGTGCTTGGCACAAGGTAAGCACTCATGTGTATACTATTAGTGTTATTAGATGCTATCCTTTAAATGTTCTTATTAATCTTGTCTCTAGGGGAAGCCAGTTTATCATGAACCACTTGCAAATGGATGACATCACCTGTTACTGGGAGAGCCTGTTGACTGAATACTCTAAATTCCTGTCCTATAATGTAACAAGAAGGAAAAGCTATGATCAGATTATTCCCAAAAGTTTGAAAACTGAACTCTGACAGTCATTCATTGGACCATAGTCCTCTCTATGGCAGCAGATCTCAGCTATCCTGTGGTGGGAAGCTTAATGAGTGTGTCACCTATACCTTGAATAACATTATCCAGCCAAATATCTGGTTTTCCTTATCATGCTGCACCCCGAACAACTCTCAAGAAAGATCCAAAATGTGTAAGATGAAGCAGCTCAGCGCTTTGGCTGAATAAGAACCAGAAATCATGAGATGTGGGTTTTGAACCCGATTCTAATGTTCATTTTCTTAGGACTGATCACAGCTTGTAGACATACATCCACATATGTATGTCCATCACTGTGAAACTGACTGTGTCCATGGGATGATGTCCTTTGTCCCATTGTTTCAAGCAGAAAATCGGTCATTTGGAACTAGTACAACTCATCACAGCAATCCTGCAGTTATTTTAGGCTTGATCTTTGTTGCTATATTTTAATGTAGGAAGCCCTATAGAGTTTGTGAAAAATATTTGAGGATCATTTCCTGAAAGGTCTAAGGAAGCAGTGGTTGTGCCATGCAATGACATAGGAGTTCTCTTTTGTAAAAGATAAACTCTTTGGTACTCAGGAGGTTTATATAATGCCACATAGAAAGAAGCCAATTGCATGAGTAATTATTGCAATTGGATCTCAAGTTCCCTTTTTGTGCCTTCACACCCATCTTTTTATGGTCTCAAAAAAAA